CACAGCTTGAGAAATGCACCAAAAAGTCACAAAACAACTGCAAACAATTTCCAGAATGGCTTGAAAACTCGATGCAAAAGCCGCTCCAACACCTATACACTCGACGCCACTTGCTACCCACAGGCTCCAGCATGCACCGGGTGGTGCTATAAACCTCCCAGGTTCAATGCATCCTAGTTAACTTGCTTTGTATTGCGAAAAAAAATTGTAAACCGAGGCATTATTTTCAATGGATTTTCATTTGTAAACCGAAAATTATGTTAACCGAGGCTTTTGTAAACTGAGGTCCCACTGTATATATTTTGAGCAGTTTTTGGCTGGGCCAGTGGATATCAGGGCCCTCTGTCCGGCCATTCCACCTGGGGTTTATACCGGGTTTTTCGAGGCTCCGCTTGTAGCGAAGCTCTAGTCCTGACAACTCTGGAACATGGTGCAGTAAAGTGAATAGCTCTATCCCTCCCCAGTAACTGGAGGACACACAGTTCAGGGAGTACAACTGATTTTTATTGTGCCACACTCATGGGGTCTCTATACAAGATAACACAAACCCCTCCCAGGCGTCCCTGCGTCTAGGAGATAGCTGAGTCAAGGATTGGTAACTCAATTATCTCTCAGTTACAGGGAAGCATACAGAAAATATACAAAATCACTCTAAAAATCACATTTAACTTACACAGGAACCCCACATGTTGTCCAAAGTTGTCCAAATAGTGCTCAAATACGTTCAGTGTAAGGGAATCGCCATCAGGGCAAAATTCGGACTGGCCAACTATGAGATTGTAGCCCAAAATAGTTGCAGAGAGAAAGAGGCAGCAGCCAGCCGGCCGGCCAACTTTCGGGAGTTCCTGTACGAACACCAACAAATGCTCCCCCCGGGCTCTTAGGGAGCGAATGCTTCCCCTAGTCGGTAGTGTCTTTCTCCCGAAGAGCACTCTCCTGACTGGGAGCAGAGCAGGCAGTGGTACAGTTTTCCCAGCGTATCTTAAGCTTCAGGCACTCGACAACCAGGTACCGCTGCCTGCATTTGAGAGACAAAATGGCCACCATCCACTAGAGCATGTGTGTTCAGTTAAATGCATGGCGGCATGCCAGGGAAAGCACTTGAGATGATTAGTTCCTTTTTAGTTAACGAGCCAGGGGGTGGTTAGTGTTTTTTAGATATAAATAGGGAAAATTTATTTTACACTCGGGAACCAAACAAGGGTGATACGGGAAAGTAAAGTACTGAATGGATAGAGGACCAAGTCTGCTCACCATATTTCCCAGTTCGAGGCCTACCTTGCAGTCTTGTGGACCCAGAGGTTCTTCCTATGGCCGACGGCCTTATGGTAACTTCAATTCCATGCCACCTTTCTTCGCTATCGATGTTGGGGGTTAGATTGGGTAATTTTGTCAATGTCTGGCAAGGGTTAACTTCAGATCCTTCAGTCATGGAGGCAACTTCAGATGTCTGGTGGACAACCAGACCAGTTTGTCTACTTGATATGAAGATAGAGATCTCCTGTCATGATCAGCATATGACTTATAGAGATGTTGACTCTCCGGTAGTGTCTTTTGACCACAAAGAAATCCTTGTAATAGCTGGTTGACATGAGCAGAGGTGTCTATGACAATTGCGAAAACAAGTAATCCTGCAAGGGATGTAAGTTGGAATCCATAATTGAGTAGAAAAGGAGAAGTGCGTGTTGAGTCATGTACATGCGAGTTTTAGGCAGATTCTGCAGTGGTGAAGAGGTCTTTCCAGTCCGATTGAAAGTGAGTTGTGTAACAGCAAATCAGACTGGTCCCACCCATACGGCCAGTCCAGATCCGAAATGCCAGCTCCCTCTGCATGAAAGATACAGCAACATCAGATGACCGTTTCAAACTTGTAAGGTTTAATCAGTGATACCTCTAGGCACCATGAGCAAGGGGTCCACGTCTTGATTGACCTTTAAACTTAAGGAGAAAAAAACAAGTAGAAAAACATTTCAGATCTGGACTGCCTGTACGGGTGGGACCAGTCTGATATGCTATAGTAATGGCACAAGATGAGCTAAAACAAGCTTGAGATCTGAGCAATGACCCACTGAAGGAAAGGCTAACTGAGCTTTTGTCCCTTCTCACCTCTCTTGTTTTGTGTTTTTCTCTGTCTGTAGAAATAAGCAAAACTCACAAATCGTTGCACCTACTTCTTTGTTTGGGGTTCTGGCCACTGTTGTATGGCTTTGACTTGCTTGGCTCCATCTCTACCTTGCCAGATCAAATGATGAATCCAAGGAATTCAACACAAGTTACTTCAAAGATAAACTTCTCTATTTTAGTTGTCTGAAATGGTTCAATACCTCCAGCACATGGTAGCAATGCGTGGGTAAATCAGGGGAGCAGATCAGAATATAATCCAGATAGATCACTACATACTGGTCAAGGAGATCTCTGAAGATATCGTTGAGAAAATGTTGGAACGAGGCAGGAGCATTACAGACCGGGCATGACTGTGTTTTCATAGTATCCATATCGGGACCGGAAGGCAGTTTTCCATTCATCACCTTCTCTAACATGAAGGAGATTATAGGCGCCCCTTAAGTCCAACTTGGTATAAATGGATGCTGTCTGTAATCTTTCAATCAATTCAGAGATAAGAGAGAGAGGCTATTTATTTTTTTTACAGTGGTCATCGACTACCATCCTTACATGGTCGTAGACTACCATCCTTTTCCCTACAAAGAAAATGCCTGCTCCTGTTGGAGAAGTGGAAGGTCAGAGAAATCCTTTTGCTATGTATGTATTTGTAACAGATCCCCCTGTCCCAGGATTATTGTTTAATTTTGACTGATCCGGTATATGAACCTCACCGAACAGATTGACCCATTTGGTTCATATACCGTACTATGTACCGAATGGACAGACCAACCAGAACAGTCCTGTGCCACTCATTAACCTACCGGATCTCCTTCACACTTTCACAAACCGCAATTATCAACATTCTAAACAGTCGGCTGGGTGGTTGCCGTTCATATGGACGAACACGAGGCAGTGGCCATCTTGGTTTCGCAAACGCATATAGCGGTGTTTGGTCGTTGAGTGTATGGAACTAAAATCAGGCACTTGATGGTGCGAACACTGCTGGGACTTCCACTCCCATGTATGTTCGGTTTTATTCGACTAAGAAGAGCAACGTTCGGTAGAAACAAACTCCCGAATGAGGGGCACACGACTAACTGCTATACGAACAGTTATCGTCATAATTTTATTGTTTTGTTCTATGGAACTCTTTTGGGCTGGCGCCTCATTTGTGGTCTGTCTAAACTACGTTTGTGGGATCTGAGTTCTTTCTGGATACGTCGGGCACTCAGATCCAGGCTACGGCATTACTCATATTAGGGGGAATGGACATCTCTGGCAGCGTAAAACCCTTTTTCTCTTGGGGTGGCCGCCACAGTATTCCTTCAAGATGTGAAGCTCTTTTTCTGCCGAATATGGACAATCATATTTTCTTCGTGGCGGCAGGGTTTCAACCCCTTTCTTGTCAAAAACATCCATATATTCATGATATATCAGAGATAGTAAAACTTCCTGACTTTTCTTCATGCTGGCATCCAATATGGAATGTATATAAATTATGTTTTCTTTTCTTTGAAGGCATTAAGTAGAACATAAATTTGAGGAAAAGGACAAACTTTCTGATGATGGGATTGTGGTTACGTAACCAAGGGATTCCGATGATCACAGGAAACAGGGGAGAAGGAACAAGATCAAACACAATGTACTCTTTATGCATCCCTATAGAAACCAAGATAGGGAGGGGTTGTTTTAGTAATGGATCCAATTTCACAAATGGAAATTTTTATTAATTACAGGAATCTTTAAAGCGGTAGCCAAGGAAGAATCGAGGAAACAGCCACTTGCTCTGGCATTCATGAATGTTCATATTCCACTACAAGGAGAGAGATAGTGATAAGGGAGGAGCCACGGTAATCAATGTGGATGGTAGAAGTGTCACACATGTTTGCTTACCCATGGTGGTTCTTGGTTTTTCGGGGACGTTTCTCACTGTATGGGGGGATGTCCACAGTAGAGGTAGAGATTCTCTCTACTTCTACACTGTAACTCAACAGGCGTTAAATGACCTTGGACCAATCCTACTTCCATAGGTTCCTCATCCTGGGTTGTGGAAGGAGGCAACAGCTGTTCTTGAGGGTAGAGAAGAGGCTTTCTCGTGATGTCTGTCTGTTTAATTGAATCGCCTGTTGTATAAAGTCCTCCAATGTATCAGGAATGCCAAAGTGTGCAAAGTCATCTTTGAGGGGTTCGGAGAGACCCAAATGGAACTGGTTGATAAGGCCGATCTCTATCCATCGTGTATCTTTAGCGTAGAGTTTGATGGAATCAGAGTAGTCACCTGTAAACCTATCTGGCATGGTAATATGTGGTTCTGGTGCCATAAACATATCTTGAGGGAGAGGTACCAGACGGGCGGCTACCGGTGATTGAGTTGCAATGGTTATAGGTGTCCTTGCTTGTGCTTGTAGTTCTTGTACTGCTTGAGTCAGACCAGGCCAGTTACTTTTATTGCCAGGGTGTCAAGCATTTCAGCCATGTCTGCGAGATCCATGCATGGCTCAGATATCACTGTTTAGTAGACCAAGCCCACGATGCAGAAAAGTGCTGAAAGAACATAAACCAGATTCACAGTACAGAAGGGTCAGATGGAGAATAGTCAGGAAAGCCAAATGGTCAGGACATGCAACACAGTATCAGGAGTGATAAATCAAGCAAAGGTCAATAGCAGGATACAGCAGAGTATACAACACAACAGAAGCACAGTATATTTGAGTAATGAGTTCTTGGAGGAGTGGTGTTTAAATAGGGAGAAACAGGTATGTCCATTTACATTAACTCCACCCTTTCTGTATAGACCGCTTTCTGTGCCTTTAAGAAGGTGTAGTTTTGGCTGAACAGACCTCACAACGTGTTCTTGGAGGGGGCTGCTTGCCCACCTCCTACCTTCTGACTATGGCCCTGGGATATATGGCATCTGAAAACACTATTTGTGCCCTGTGACAAAACTGGAGATTGTGCACAAATATGACTATTGTCCATATTTTTTATGATTCCCTTCGTTTGTTGCACTGTTCCCCATGTGTTTCATCTGTTGGTCTGGCTGGATAGACTACCAGACAAACTGTGGAGTTACTGGGTGGCCACCATTTCATGTATCAGAGGCACATGGTGAGAACAATGGATGAAGCACATGGTGAGAACAATGGATGGCGGCCATTTTAACTCACAGACACTGTTTGGACTTTTCTACACGGTGCCATCTCGCTGGTATTTGGTGCACAAAGACATTGTGCAGTAGTTTTAAACTATACAACGGGGGACACATTATACAGTAATTATTTTTCATATAGCCTGTATATGTTCTGCGGAATCTGCATTAAACTGTATCTTCCAAACTACTGAACAGATCTGGGTGAATTTTGGATATGTGGTTCACCCAGATCCCCCGGTTCCGAGGATATACTTTTATGGGGTTATTGCATGTTTTGGGGTCCCTGTGATATGTTTTATAATACTGCATTTCTCTGCCTGTGATAATTATATTAACCATTGTGTTCAGTAATCATATCACAGGCAGAGGGGAGGATTTTGTGTGGGAGTGTCTGTGTGTATTGTACAGATTGATTGGTTGTATTTGAAAACCCTGTGGGCAGTACTATGTTTGTGGATTGTGAATAAAAGAGGCTGTATATGCCAGTACAGGCAGTTCTGCTTGACCTCAAAACTAAGTGTTGTCTCGTTATTGGGGGAATTGGATTGTATGCTGATTGCCAGGAGTGTAAGCTGATTGTATGCTTTTCCTGTTCAGCTGCTTACAGCATTCATATGCTTGAGAGCATTCATATGCTTCTCCAGTTCGGTGGTTGTGGTGTCTGCTGCAGTGCTTGGGGTTCTCAGGAAGCGCTAGGAGCATCCTTCAACGGAGGTACAAATTGTCTATAAATGGAGAAAGCACTGCTGCTACTCTCCCTAGGAGTGGCCGTCCTGTAAAGATGACTGCAAGAGCACAGCGCAGACTGCTCAATGAGGTGAAGAAGAATTCTAGAGTGTCATCTAAAGACTTTAAAAGTCACTAAAGACTTTAAAAGACTCTAAAGTCACTGGCAAATGCTAACATCCCTGTTAGCGAATCTACAATATGTAAAACACTAAACAAGAATGGATTTCATGGGAGGATACCACAGAGGAAGCCACTGCTTTCCAAACAAAACATTGCTGCATGTTTACAGTTTGCACAAGAGCACCTGGATATTCCACAGCAGTACTCGCAAAATATTCTGTGGACAGATGAAACCAAAGTTGAGTTGTTTGGAAGAAACACACAACACTATGTGTGGCGAAAAAAAGGCACAGCACACCAACATCAAAACCTCATCCCAACTGTGAAGTATGGTGGTGAGGGCATCATGGTTTGGGGCTGCTTTGCTGCCTCAGGGCCTGGACGGATTGCTATCATCGAAGGAAAAATGAATTCCCAAGTTTATCAAGACATTTTGCAGGAGAACTTAAGGCCATCTGTCTACCAGCTGAAGCGCAACAGAAGATGGAACAGGACAATGACCCAAAGCGTAGAAGTAAATCAACAACAGAATGGCTTAAACAGAAGAAAATACACCTTCTGAAGTGGCCCAGTCAGAGTCCTGACCTCAACCCGATTGAGATGCTGTGGCATGACCTCAAGAAAGTGATTCACACCAGACATCCCAAGAATATTGCTGAACTGAAACAGGAAAAGAGGAATGGTCAAGAATTACTCCTGACCGTTGTGCACTAAACTGCAACTACAGGAAATGTTTGGTTGAAGTTATTGCTGCCAAAGGAGGTTCAGCCAGTTATTAAATCCAAGGGTTCACGTACTTTTCCCACCTGCACTGTGAATGTTTACATGGTGTGTTCAATAAAAACATGGCAACATTTCATTCTTTGTGTGTTATTAGTTTAAGCAGACTGTGATTGTCTATTGTTGTGACTTAGATGATGATCAGATCACATTTTATGACCAATTTGTGCAGAAATCCATATCATTCCAAAGGGTTCACATACTTTTTCTTGCCACTGTATAAGTACACCAGATCTTTTCAAACCCAATTTCAGGGTTTATCTTCTCGTCAAAAAAACAAACAAAAAACTTTGTTATTTCTTTCCTATACTTACAGTTTTCCTCTGAGTCCAAAAGGACCTCATTAAGTCTCCAGGATGTACGAGGTCTTAACTCCTTTTGGAATTGTAGGTCCCAAAAAATTGCATTGTGGTCTGACCAAGTTATTTAAATAAGTCCAATCTTTTTTATTAGAGTACTTATCTGTTCACCTGCCGCAGCATAGGAATTTATTATAGTAACTGTAATTTGATTTATGTTACAGATAAGAATATTATATTTAGCTTCAGCGTTGTTTTCTTGGTATAATAATTTGACTGCTAAATTATTAGCGGCTCAAATTGAGACTCCTTTTTTTTCCTTCTATTCTAGAGGCATTAGTTAGAACATTATAGCCATGGAATTTCATTTTATCGATATCTCTTGCTAGCCAGTGTGTCTCTTCCTCCATACATTTTGGGAGTCTCTCACATGCCTTTTTGCAAACTCAAAACGTGCCATTTTGTTTTTTGCTGAAAGTAATGGCTTTCTTCTGGCCACTCTGCAATAAAGCGTACGGCTTATTGTCGTCCTATGTACAGATACTCCAGTCTCTGCTGTGCAACTCTGCAGCTCCTCCAGGGTTACCTTAGGCCTCTTTCCTGTCTCTCTGATTAATGCCCTCCTTGCCCAGTCTGTGAGTTTTAGTGGGCGGCATCTCTTGGCAGGTTTGCTGTTGTGCCATGTACTTTCCATTTGGTTATGATAGATTTGATGGTGCTCCTGGGGATCATGTGACACTTAGATTGCACACATGTGGACATCATTTCACTAATTATGTGACTTCTGTTAATTGGTTGCTTTTTATGGGCTTCATAACAAAGGGTGTAAATACATACGCACATGCCAATTTTCTGTTTTCTATTTCTAGAAAATAGTTTTATGTATATATTTTTCTGATTTCACTTCACCAACTTAGACTATTGTGTTCTGATCCATCACATAAAATTCAGATTAATAAAACATTGAACTTAGGGCTGTAATGTAACAAAATAGGTAAAAAGTTGAGCGAACCTGGACTGTAAAGTTCGGGTTCGTACGGAACATTACGTTTTTTTGGACCCCGGACCCGCACACGGACAAATCGGGTTGGAGTTCGGTGTTCGGCGATTTAATGGCGCGTTTTGAAAGGCTGCAGGCAGCCAATCAACAAGCGTTTGACTCGTGTGCCCTTAGAAGCCATCACAGCCATACCTACTAATGGCATGGATGTGATTGGCCAGTGCAGCATGTGACCCAGCCTCTATATATAAGCTGGAGTCGCATAGCGCCGCACGCACATGAGGTCTTATTAGTGTATGGAGAGGATGCTGCCGCTGTGAAAGAATTAGGAAAGAATTCTGCAAACTAGTACATTAGTGGGGTGCAGTTCATATCTGAGAGTCAAACAGAAGCGTCAAATACTGCGGTTACATCAGAGTTTTAAAAAGTCATTTTAAATAGTACATTAGTAGGGTGCACTTCATATCAGAGAGTCAAATACTGCTGTCACATTGCAGTTTTAAAACTTAAAAATTTTGGGGTGCTAAAAAGTACATTAGTGCGGTGCACTTCATATCAGAGTAAAATAGAAGCTTCAAATACTGCGCTTACAGCGCAGTTTTAAACATTCCAATTCTTTTGCTGCTAAACTGCTAAATAGTACATTTTGGGCGTGCTCTTCATATCTGAGAGTCACATAGAAGCGTCAAATAGTGTGCTTACAGCGCAGTTGTAAACATTCTAATTGTTTTGCTGCTAATCTGCTAAATAGTACATGTAACGGAGCTCCTTGTACTCCGACTGAGTACCCTCTGTTGATGGATGCTCCTAGCGCTTCCTGAGGACTCCAAGCACTGCAGCAGACACCACAACCACCGCAGACTCCGCAACCGCCGTATCTTGACTGGAGTCTCGCCTTCTTCCTTCCACCCTGGATCAGCTTCTATCCTCCAGGACTGTGTGGGAAAGAACTCTCCCTTCCACCCTGTATGAACCTCCAGCATCCAGGACTGTGTGGTGAAGACCCCTCCTCCAAGGAGAGCGTGTCAGGAACAAGCTCTTAAAAGAGCTAAGTGACTCAAGCTCAGGGGAGCATGCAGAGCATAGCAATCCCCAGTGTGATTATAACAGCTCCCTCCAATAACGAAACAAGGCTACGTTTAGAGGGATCATGAAGAACTGTCAAAACCTTTATTTCCCTTGGGACCAGCCAATAGGGTCACCACAATAACATTGTTGTGAAACCTCAATAAAATCACAAACAGTCAAACCATATCAAGCAACACACAGTGACTTATCACAACACAATGGCACATTTTTAAAGGGGTGAGGGGAGACAATATTTAACAGTAAATATCTCACCTGCCTGCAGAATTAGCAATATGCAAATCTACCCGAATATGCAAATGAACCAGTCTTGCAATTCAGGTAGTGCATATTGCTGTTGCTACCAACAGAGGGCACTAGACAAGCTCCATAGCCAAACCCACCTAGTTGGTAGCAAACCTCAGCAATACAAGAGAGCAGGCAATACATTACACAGTACACACACACACACACTATAAACAATTACATAACACACACCCTGCACCTATAATGGGTACAGGGTGACTAAAACATAAGATAAATAAAGCAGCCTACATAAATAGTCTGTCTGAAGGTAGACTAGGGGCTTTAAAGCCAGATACATGAAAGAGTCATAGTCACAGGGTAGGAGGCTGGCAAGTAGGCCTCTCCAGGACCAAGTGGCGAAGGGCACTTAGTCACAGTACATTTCGGGGGTGCACTTCATATCTGAAAGTCAAATAGAAGCGTCAAATAGTGCGCTTACTGCACAGTTGTAAAAATTCTTATTTTCTGGGTGCTAATCTGCTAAATAGTACATTTTGGGTGTGCTCTTCATATCTGAGAGTCAAATAGAAGCGTCAAATAGTGCGCTTACTGCGCAGTTGTAAACATTCTAATTGTTTTGCTGCTAATGTGCTAAACAGTACCTTTTGGGGCCTGCTTTTCATATCTGAGAGGCAAATAGAAGCGTCTAATAGGGCACTTACAGCACAGTTGTAAACATGTATGTACGTAGCGGGGAATGTGGTGCGACTAAGAGTAAGGAGACTACCCCAATTCTCCTCCCAATAATGACAAACAACGAATATTGGATGAAACAGGCCACAG